CCTGCTCTTGAGGAAAACAGCAAGGAGTTCTTCAAGAAAGGGTGGGACGAGGCGCTCCAGTCTGCTGGAATCCCGTCAGACTCCCCGCTCTTCCAGATGTACAAGTACGTGCCCTTGGCGGAGATGGAACGGGCCGAAACAGAGATTGCTGCCGAGGATGAGATCCCAACGCCGGTGCAAATCTCTGCGGATCTGCCCGAGGCAGTTATAGTGGACTTGTCCGAAGAGGCCCCGCCGGACCATGCCCCTGATCCTCATGTTGCTCAAGGTCTCTCTGTTGCCGAAGTACCTCTCCTTCTGCCTGCTCCAGAAGTTTCTCAACTTTTTTATGCTGACTCGCCCTCGGCTGATGTTGTGGAGATGCCCGGGGCCAGATGAAAGCCCCTTTTTCTTTTTTATTGTACTCTTTCAAATATCTATCTCGGACCAATCTTTCCAAGAATGATTTGAACACCCTGCAGCTTTCGGTGCGATGCCCGAAATCCCGGTGATAGGAACACCTAACCTTTTGATCACGGGTGGAGGGGTCGCTCTGCATCCTGGGCGGCCATTTGAAGAACGGCTCGTGCTTGATTTTATGGAGCAGCTTGAAGATGGGTTCCTTGAACACAGTGTGAATTCCTTTGGACGGACCCCCTGGAGGGGGTAGCAATCCCTTTCGGGGAATATCTTCCCGCTCCTTCTCTTTTCTCTTAGATTGGAGGGCTCGGCCTTTGCTGCTTCCCATCTCGTCCTCAACCCTCGAGTATTTGTTTATCCGGGCCATTAGTTCCCCCATATCCGAGGGAGTCTTCTTGGTCAGGGATCGGTACAGGTCCGTGTCCCTTGCCAAGCCGAGCCGGAAAGATGCTGCTGCCATGACCTCCGAGCAGCCTTCTACCTCATTAACCTCTTCCCAGTATCGGATGGCGTACTGGCGAAGAGTCTCGGATTCCCTCCGTCTGAGGGTCAGCAATGATCCAATGTCTTTGGGGCGCTTACTCCCCGTAATGAATCGAGCCAGGAACTGCTTCGTCAATTCCTTCCATGACCCAATACTGTTGGGGGGAAGCGCCTCGAACCACTTCATCGCAGAGTCCCCCAAGCTCATAGGAAACACTCGGCAGAGAAACCGTTGGTCCGAATGATAGAGGGACATCATCTGCTTGTATTGCCTGACATGGGCTTCGGGATCGGACCGCCCGTCATAAGTTTTGAACCGCGGCACGACAAACTTTCTTGAAACCTCCATCTCACCGATCTCCCTCGTAAAGGGTGTTTGTATGACTTCGTCCTCGGCCTCATCCTGGACAGCCTTACCCTTTCTCCTGGAGTCTAACCGGGCTCTGAGATCAATTTCTTCCCTGACGGGATGCCTTCTGAAGTCCTTGAGTTCATCGGTAAGCCCCTCATTTCCTGGGCGTCGTGTGGATTGGGTTGAGTCCTCCTCGGATTCATCTCCCTTCCTCCGTCTAGACAAACCTCGCCGGAGGTCGTCCAGGGCCAATGGCCTTGCTTTCCTTGAATGGTTGTCATGATGATGCTCGCCGGCTCTGGGTCGCTTTGGGGCCCTAGAGCTTTCTGCTTTGTTGTTTAGGTGGTTTCTTAGATCCTTCGTTTTCGCCTCCCGGGCGGGAAGCCCACGAGAAAGGAATGAATCCCTCGATCCTTCGCCAGAGGCGGCAAACTCGTTGAGCCGGCTTAGGACGTTTACATTGTCCTTTTCCAGCTGACGTAATCTATCGCCAAATTTTTCTTCAATCACCTCCGCCAGCTGACGAGCCAAGGGGGCTGATCCCCCTGACCTGATTCCCATACTGGTTTGAGGGGTAACCCCTCTTGACCGAGTAGAGGCACTTTTATTCGTATTGGTGTGATCCCTCCCTCCGTGATGACAGGGAGCTTGTAACTCGAGACTCCTTTGGTGGGGTCCTTTCCCTTTCTGTCGAGTGTTCACCATGGTCACTGTTCTTTATAGAGAAAAAACTAGGAAAACTAGTCGTTTCCCACAGACGGCGCCAGATTGTGCGTGCAAGATCCTGCACAATATAAAAAACGAGAACAGATCTCTCCCTTGGTGAACTCGAGTGAGCCAGTTGAGTGACCAACCACGCTGCTTGGAACAGCCTGCGAGGTCCGGTGGTAACCTGGAACGGCAACGGGAGACCCTGGGGGAGCGGAAGAACGATCCAGTAAGGCTGAAAGAGGTTCCTGGAACAAAGAAGAACAAGTTAGAAGGGCGCCGGAGTGTTTTCCGGCGTATCCCCTCCGACGATCTAGTCAGTCTTTGAGAAAGAGAGAGGAAGGAGAAAACACTGAGTGTGTATTGTAGTAAAGAGTTTTTTGTTGCATACCCGTCTTGCCTTTTGCAAGGAGTATTTATACCTCAAAAGCTCATGATTGCTGTCAGTGTAGTCAGTAGGTGATCATTAGGTACAGGCAGTGTGCGCACTGATTCTGATGAGGAATGTCTTCTCTTCTTAACTGCTCGGGGTCCCGAGCAATCAATGCTGGGTCATCGGGATGCCGACGGTACAATGTACTCCTCTCGGGGAGGATGCAATAAATGCTCTGTATTAGGAGCATTTATTGCCTTTCATTTCCGAGCCTTACCGCATTGAATGCGGTCTCATCAAGGGAATGGTGTAATTAATCGTTTGTTTTCCCAAGTCGCGTGTCAGCAACGGCATGCGGTTTCTCTGTCTTCGATGTGATATCATACGCCACGCGTCCATCCCCCATTGGCTGTGGCCCCTGCATTCCAGTACGTTCTGACACTAATTGTGTAAGACGAGGTCATGATGAATAGCCTAGACTAGCCTAGGCTAATGACTTGTACGTCAATAGCTTATCCTGGAGTAAAGGAAGCGTCTAGGACGGGGTACATCTCGGCACCGAGGAAAGGCTCATCTCGAAACCGAGGGAGGTACACCGACCGAGGTACCATATCAGACCGAGGTTACGTGTTGGTTGTAACTCGTACTGAAATGCCATGATCCTATATGACGAGTACCTCGGGGGCGAGGACCTTTATGCACCGATGGTGCTTGATCTTAGTAACATTATTTTGGTAAATACCGAGGACATGTGTCTTCATCATGGAGTATTTCAGAAAAGTCCCATCATAAGTTTAATTCAAATTTATTCTCCGACTTCAAGAGATCCAACAAATTTAGTCTAGTGTGGCCAACTCGGTCAAGCTCATTAGCTCAATCCGTTCAAGCTCATCAGTGTGGTCAGCCTGGTCAAGGTCAGCAGCTCAAGGAGCTAAGGGAGCAAACAAGGTCATCCAAAACCCTATCCTCGCTGCCCTGGAGATGATCAACACCCCATCTCATCCTTTGACCGAATCTCATGGAGAGCACCGCAATTGCCTAACACGTTGAGAAGAGCTCGCCAGATCCAACAAACTAGCCAACTATTTACTAATATTTTGCCCAAATCTGTTAGGAGGGCGACTATAAATTGTAAGCCCTACCAACACTTGGGGGCAGATCATACTTTACCTGAGCACGACTCTCTCATCTCTCTCAAGACTTGGACTCTTTACTCCCCACACCCTTGAGCTAATAAAATACCCGACAACCAGAGCCATTGAAGAGTGGACGTAGGTCGAGCTGACCGAACCACTATAAATTGCGTGTGTCTCTCCATCTTCTGATATTATTTTCTTGCATTCGTTATTCACACTTGACAGGTGGTGTGCAAAACTATTTTGTGCACTATCAGTTTGGGACCGTTTGTGGGAAACGACAAAATTGTCACTCTTAAACATTCCATTTGTTGAACCAATGACGATCACTACTAGATCCATGAACCAACTTGAAGATAATCCTCCATGAGAGGAGGAGGTTACTCCTCCACCTACCAACTCTGTCACAAATGCTCCAACTCCAAATCCACAACAAATACTGGAGACCATGCGGCAGCTAGTAGCCCAAAACCAGCAGATAATGCAACTCATGCTTACTGGATAAGGNAACTCCAAATCCACAACAAATGCTGGAGACCATGTGGCAGCTAGTAGCCCAAAACCAACAGATAATGCAACTCATGCTTACTGGATAAGGAGGAGCACAACTTGGAGGTGCACANATGAGAGGAGGAGGTTACTCCTCCACCTACCAACTCTGTCACAAATGCTCCAACTCCAAATCCACAACAAATACTGGAGACCATGCGGCAGCTAGTAGCCCAAAACCAGCAGATAATGCAACTCATGCTTACTGGATAAGGAGGAGCACAACTTGGAGGTGCACAGCGTGGAGGACCCCAAGGAGCTCCATGCCCTGAACATCAAAGAGCTCNCAGATAATGCAACTCATGCTTACTGGATAAGGAGGAGCACAACTTGGAGGTGCACAGCGTGGAGGACCCCAAGGAGCTCCATGCCCTGAACATCAAGGAGCTCCATGCCCTGGACATCAAGGAGCTGCACGTAAAATTACTGTCTTTGGGGTGAAGTTATTCCTTTTTTAGGGTGAAGTTATCACTTTTGGGGTACCATTCTACTATTTGGTATAAAACCAAGATGTAGAATGTTAGGACTCTAGCGCTGTTCATTTAAGGTAATGTATTATCATCATCAAATTTATGTGAATCTTGATATTAATTATTATCAATCTAACATCTCCAATGCATTATCTTTTCAAATTAGACTCGTATAATATTATAGTTTGATAAATCATTCATCAATTAGAAATGATTTACTCTTCTCATAAATCCCTAGTTTCAGACTCATGGCTGGTTTATATTGCATCTTACACATCCCATGTACCACACTCATATTCAAAAACTCGAGGTATAGATTATTGAAATCCTATCATTCGAATTATACTCATATCATTGAACTAGCATTTTTGAACAGCTTTTCAGAAATTTCAATGCATTTTTCTAATAAATATTAGCCATTGGATTGTATGGTTTCTGGTTATTGATCAGAATATAAGTGATTCTGTCCATTCTTATTGAAGAGATGATGAATTTATCTCAAACAACTCCATAATACAACAAAAATAATTTCAAAAATCACGAGGGTCCACGAAAATCACTGAAGAAGATGGTCGAGATTTAATCAAATCAGAGGGCCCACAACTCTCTTCATCTTCCTGCTTCACTGCTTTAAGCCTCTTGATGCACCACACATCTTCATCCCATGAAAACTTCTTCCAATGGGGGATTGCCTCTATAAGTGGGTCCCTTTTCCCCACCTCGGCCACCAAGGCCCCACAATCAGTATCATCTCTAGCCATGTTATGAACGAAGGTGCATAGACACCTCATGAGTCGCGAAGCACCCTTTCCTTCCATGTGAAGTCCATACAAGAAATAAATACCAAAAGGACTAAAAATGTTAGGAATTGAGGGTAACTTTAGCCAAGGCATTAGGGTGTCCAGCACCCAAGTCCCCATGCAGAAGGCGTACGTTAGTGCTGACACCCCCTTCACCACTAACTTGAACACCTCTTTGGTGTTCCAAACACTTAAAATAGCAAAACTTTGTGGTAAAATGTCAGTTTTTGAGTCACAGATAGGGAGGGATTTTTTGGGTAAGGCCATGAAAGTGCCCAAATTTAGTTTATTGTTTAGGATGAAATCTATGTCCTTTGGGAAGAATTCCGAGTTGGCAAAAATTCGGGAATATATCAACTCAGCGAGTCGTGGGGGGACTTGTACGATTGCGACTCCAGGGTCTAGTGGCTTGTAGTGGGCATGGACAGGGTGCACCAACATTGCTGGGGTACGAAACTTGACATATTCACATTTGACTGTAAACAAGTCTATAGAAGGCAGATTACTACAGTCAGTGGCCATGTAAGTGTAGTCGGCGCCATTTTTCCGGCACCATTCTTCTAAATGTTGAACAAGTTTTGTGCCAATGCCGAGCCGCCTGCATGCAAAGGGTTAATGATTAAAATAAGGATATATAGTTCAGTGCACGAGAGTCAATAAATACCATCGTCACTGTGTGATTTTGAATAAATAAATGTATATATATTTTCATGCATATAAAAAAATTGTTTTTGCGACTTAAATTATGACGTTCACGTCATGCCGTAAAAGCTTTAAAGATTATGATGCTCAAATCTCTTGAAATAATAATAACCTTATTTTATTAGATCACTTATATTGCATGTTGAAAAAAGTAATTAAAGTGCTATTAACTCTAATTGAGTTAATAGCATTTTTTATTCGTAAAATATGTATTTTTTTGTCAGTTTAGTCATAATTGTATTAATTTTATCAATTTAGTCTATAAAGTATTCAATTCGTATTATTTTAGTNCCTAAAATATGTATTTTTTGTCAGTTTAGTCATCATTGTATTAATTTTATCAATTTAGTCTATAAAGTATTCAATTCGTATTATTTTAGTCCCTACATAAACGGATTTTTAAATTTTTGACGGAATGATTATGTGTTGAGCGCGTAATCTTGTCTAAAAAAATGACATTTGATTACTTTTATCAAAAAATTTAACAAATTGTTTAATTGGAGATTAAAATGACACACGAATTCCCTTACTTTAGGAATCAAATTGACAAAATTGATACAATGAGGACTAAAATGAAAAAAAAATACACATTTTAGGATACAAAAAAGTGCCATTAACCCTAATTTTTTTGTTTTATTTGAAAAAAGTAGGGGACATTTTACTAGAATATGGTAATTTCGGAGACTTAATTTGATGCTTGATCAAGGGTGCTAGCTTTTGCTTAAATTAATCAATAATGGTTTACTGAATATGTTCCATCACAATAAGGTCATAAAAATTCTAAGCAAGCCAATCTATAATGTGGGCATGCATGCAACTAGCCCTTATAATAATATCCTTTGTGCTTTCTTCTTTTTTACATGCATGTGTGTGAGTGGATTCTTGTGGATTGTTTTAGAAGATCAAAAACCCTCCATTAACAACGATTAGAGAAGATAATGGACTATACAATATACACTTGATGGAGGGAAGAGAGAGATTGTAAAGAAAAACATAGAGCTCATAATGTCAATAATGGCGGCTTAATGTTTATGCTTTGTTTGCCATCCAATTCCAATCTGTCCTTTCCTTTCCAGGATACAAGGAACAATATTTACTCTTCTCTTTATGGTCTAATATGATCGTCATTCTGTGGTGGGGGTTTGTGTGTGTGAGAGAGAGAGAAACCTGTGTGTAGGAGAAACCCTTAATCCCAGAATACAAGCCAGCTTTACATAGACTGGAAAGTCATTCATGTCTTTCTTAGCTCTTCTAACTGTTTTAATACCGCCACTGATAATCCCAGCAATTTCTCTCTCTTTCCCATACTCTGCTACCTATTGATCACAACATGAGCAACTTATGCATAAAACATGCAGTAATCGAAACAACATAAAAACAAACTTTTCTTATGTTTCTTCACAGTTCATTAATCTGTTTAGGATTAAAGCAGCTATTAAATGCAATCCTATATCTTCTTTTTTCGGATCTCACTCGCCTAAAGACTATATCGACCTAGCATATGATCACAAAATTGTAAATTATATATCAACCGCTTTTATATATAGTTATATTTTGTATCCATCCTTGCATTCGATGCAATGTAGATAACAAATATATAGAATTCTTGATAAAACATAAAAGAGAAGCGTAATTTGTTTAATTTGTCTAATCGAATCCAAATAATTAGAATGAATGTTTTGTTGAGTTGAGTATCCATATGAACTTACCATCATGACATGGGATGGGAAGTTGCGTAAGCGAGAAATAGGGTCACCCATGAGGTCTATGATGATGGAAGGCTTCCCTGGCTGCCCAAATTGGCACCGCCTCTCCAACTCCTCGACAGCCACCTTATCTCTCTTCTCATCATACTCTCTCACCACCACCAAACACTCCACCATCCCCACCAGTGGATTTGGCAAACTCTCCTCTGCTATTTTAAGCGACATTGAGATAAGAAGACAATGTATAAGATAAGACTGATGCTAGAAATTTAGCTCCTAAACCTCTCTTACTCTTTTTCTTGGTTCTTTGCTCTCTCTATGACCCCTAAATATATTGGTAGTGTGGGCTGACTGAGGTGGCACCCTCCACCAGTCTCAGTGGACCTCTTCTATCCGTAGCCATAGGATATACTTTTTCAATGGTCAATAATTGCTCTTATTAGATGCATAACCATTTATCATGGGACTGTCATTTCATGTTCATGGTATGGGGGAGGCCATAGTAGCTAGCTTGCGTGAAGAGTTTTTTTTCTTTTTTCTTTTTTTTTTTTTCAAACCTAAAACCTATCACTTTAAACTAGTAAATTCGGGATGTGTATAATTATGCACACCAAGTTAATATTCTAGGCAGACTCAAATTTGAAATATTTAGTTATTAACTACGATAAGACGGGTTTACTTTAAAATTTTTTGGCTTTGGTAATGGTTTTAACATTATGAAACCCACCAACTTACACTTTTATCATACTATACACTGAGTTCATAATAACTTTATAAAAAAATGAAGAAAGTTTGATTATGTTTAATCCATTTGATTGATTTCACACAATAACTATAACTAAAACTATATTCAGTAGCAGAGAAAGATTTGCAGGATATTAAAATAAGTTTGTGATGGTCAATTATTGAGTTGATGAGTTGGTGAGAATCATTGCCTAACACCGCGTTAATTGTGAACACGTGGATGATCTTATATGCCCTTAATTAGGTGATCATCACATGGTCTTTTTTATACATCATACATACTTTCCACTCAAAAAAATAAAATAAATTTATACTTGCATTAACCTAGCGTTTCATTCCTCAAAATTTGTGATGGTAAACATGAAAAATAAAAACCCAAAAGTTTTATTCTTTGGTAGAGTTATTCTTTAGGAATCGTTAGAAATATGCGTTTCGGTAGATTTTTATCTATAATTTTAGATTAAAAAGATATATCAATTTATCATTATTTCACATCACGACAAAAATAGAAGCCTTCATTTTTTTTTTCTTGTCAAATTATTTGTAATTAATGAATGAGTATATAAAACGAATCCGACTTGAATTTTGGTGGAAAATATGCCAAGATAAAAAAAATTTAAAGAAAAAAAAGTATTGAAGGGATCTCATCCGATTAGACTGGTTTCTGCTAATGTAAAACCAGTTATGGCACCGAGTTGAAGCAAATGCGATGGAATGAATTTAAAGAAGCTAAACATTAAGTTTTGTGACTATTTTATTTTTGGGTAAGTAAGTTTTGTGATTATTACAACAAAACAAGATGGAAAAAAGAGGCACACCCACTTCACATTATGAGAGAAATAAAGTTCTTGCTTCCCATTTTGAAGCTAATGGAGAACTGCACCGTGAAGCTGCACCATTAAACATAGAAGTGATAGTTCAAGTGGTAACACAGATAAATTATAAATTCAGATGTCATAAATTTAAATTTTGACAATTTCTTAGGGTCAGCTCATGAGAGATTTTTCTCTTATAAATACCTTAATCTCGACATGAATGATTTACATTTGATCAGATGAGAAATGTCAGGTGATATAACTAAATTTTGTAAGGTTACATTAAAGGCATGTTTGTTTGAAAGATAATGATGGTATAAGAAGGTGATATTAGGGAAAATAGTACGCGGGGTTCAATAATACCTTGGTTGTTTGTCTTTTTTCATGTGGAACTATTTTTCGGATCGCAATACCGACCCACCCGCTACAATCATCAAAACTCATGTTTTCTGGATTTTGGCCACGTTAATGACTGAATTACCCTTCAAACTTTAATGTTAGTATGAGATTTGACTACCAATAGTTTTTTATATTTTAATTTTATTAATTTTTTTTTAAATTCTGATTTTGCATTTTTTTCCCTTATATTATGTTTCAGCGTACGGCGTCACCATTTTTGCTATTTTTATTTTTTTAAAAAAAATTATTTTAAATTTTTTTCTTATATTGTGTTTAAGTGTACGGTGTCATTGGTTTCTTTTTTTTATTATTTTTAAAAAAAAATTATTTTAAATTTTTTCCTTATATTATGTTTTAAGGGCTAGTTTTTTTNTAAAAAAAATTATTTTAAATTTTTTTCTTATATTGTGTTTAAGTGTACGGTGTCATTGGTTTCTTTTTTTTATTATTTTTTAAAAAAAATTATTTTAAATTTTTTCCTTATATTATGTTTTAAGGGCTAGTTTTTTTTGGGAATAAGAGTGGTATAAAAGGATCTCCAATCATGAATGAAATTTTTACTCAAATTTAAATTAACATTTGAGTAAAAAGTTTGATTTGATATAAATGACTCTAATGGACAAACTTAAATTTAAAAAAGGAGAGACCCAAATAAAATGGAGTAATGATGACCATTGGATATTTAAAAGATGATGAAATATCACCATTAAAAGATTTGAGTAAAGATTTGAGTCTCCCTTAATTTGAATAAAAAAAATAAGTTTCATTTGATTTGGTATAAGTTTGAGTCAAGGGTTAAAACAAGTTTTTTAGACTTTTTTATTCAAATTTAAATTTGAGTCTAAATTTAAGTAAAAGTTAGAAATACCCTAAGGAGGGAGAAAATATTCATTACAACTGTGATATCACGTGGCAAGATGATGTGGTATCATTGACTAATAGTACTAAAACAAATTATACCTTGTTTGTTTAGCATTTTACAACTAGTACCATTTTTTGGATCGCAATATCGACCCGGTATGAACAATAATCATAATACCTCGTAGATGGTATCAATGAATACCACCTACGAGGTGATATTATTTTCATGGGTTAAATGAAAAGACGGTACAAACATGCAAATTGACACAAATGTCCTCCTTTGTTAAGAGTTTACATATAAAAAATTTATTTTGAATTTTTTCTTTATATTATGTTTAAGCGTACGGTGTGAGTGATTTTTTTTTTAAATTTTTTTTCTTATATTATGTTTAAGAGTACAATGTTATCGGTTTTTTTTAAAAATTATTTTGAATTTTTTTATTATATTATGTTTAAGCGTACGGTGTTACCGGTTTTTAAATTTTTTTTTTAAAAATTATTTAAAATTTTTCGTTATATTATGTTTAAGCGTATGATGTTACTGGTTTTTTTAATTTATTTTAAATTTTTTCCTTGTATAGATTGTTAAGGGTAAAATGGAATGAATGATATTAATGGTAAAATGATATATTTGTTATATAAGATGTGATAGAATAAATGATTATTTGTGGAATCTACCATAGTACCTATTGAACAAACAAACATGGGAGAGGATTGAAATAATTTTTATAACCGGTACTAATATACCTTGGTATTGGAAATGTAACGAATACATTTTTAATACCACCCATAAATAATACTCAGAACAAACATGCCCTAAGTGTACGGTGTCACCGGTTTTTTTTAAAAAAATTATTATTAATTTTTCCTTATATTATGTTTAAACGCACGGATTGTCATGCCATGTATTATACAAAATATTGTGCAAAGATGTTACACAAACGAAATAATGGAATGAATGATGTTAAGGGTAAAATTATATATTTGTTATATATGATGTAATAGAATAGATGGTTGTTTGTGAAATCCAGTATAATACCTATTGAACTGACAAATATGAGAAGAGATTGAAATACTTTCTATTACCCGTACTAATTTTCATTTATATTGGAAATGTAAGGAATACATTTCTCAATATCATGTATAGCAATCCTCAAAACAAACATTCCCTAAATGGATCATTTGGGATTGATCCTAATTGTTTATCAATCTAAAATATTTTAATCATAACTTACTCTTATTTAGTTGTAACTTAAATTTTTATTATTTTCAATGTTGTATCAATATACTCTGTTAACCATGTATCAATTTGTAATATGAAAATTAATTAATTATCCAAAAGAATTAATGACGATTTAAAGGATCCTGTCACTGAAATTCTGCTGACGTGTCTAAAGTGACCTAAAAAGTATGAAATAAAGTTCAAAGTACATTAACCTACCCATTTTTGGAAATAATTATACTCAATGCACTCAGAAG